AATCCTCTGTACTTTTCAGATAGGAGACGCAATAGATGATGGGTTGTTTGTTTTAAGACTTCAGGAGAAAGAAGAAGTGGTGACAGACGACCTTGAACTAAATCTAAAATGCCTGATTTTAGTTGATCCAATTGATGCTCAATATCATAAGCATGTCGTATTTGTTCAGTTAGGATAGTAGAAAGTAAAACAAACGTTGCTTGGAGAGATTTGGTATTTCTGTTAATGGTTTGTGTAACATATTGCATGGTGTCATGGTTGGCTTTGATACCTTGCAGTGCATTTGTGAACCGTTTGTCAATGAGTTGCATGAAAGAAGAGAGGTGTTGGGAGTGCTGTCGAAGTGTATTGATAACATTCATTTCATGTTTTGTGAGTGTGTTAATGTGCTGTGCAAGGATGTTGACATCGCCTGTAGTGGCGGTGCCAAACAGAGTCTTAGAAAAGGCCCCAACAAAGCTTAAAAGTGCCCGTTTGGACCTGGAAGGAGATTTCAGTTTTGATTCTGGAATCAACTGTTTGATCTGTGTACGCGTTGTGTTGAGGTGTGATAATAATAATAATAATAATGGAATTATATTCCCTGAACCAAACGTGCATCACCCAGTTAGGGCTGACCCCCCCCGAAGCTGGTTTTTCACTGGGTTACAGACAGCCAAAAGGAAAGTTTAGATTCACTTCCGCAGCCCAGTCAGCCTTCCTCCGGTAGTGAAACCAACCATACTGGAGATGGGACTTGCCCCAGGGGAAGGCACAGAACCCGACCAAGAATATCTTGGTCAAACCACCTTAAAACCACACTACTTGAGTGTGCGAGAGCGACAGGATGGCCTGAAAATCCACGTATCAATGGCAAGTCGCTGAAGCTGCATTGGGACAATATTTTACTACCGTCTCCGACATGCCGTGGCTTTGACTCCCGAGGTCGATCCATGGTACGACCCTGAACATGTCCAGGGCGTCATGGAAAATGATGCTTTCAAACTTCTGTGGAATAGGCCCATATACAGCCTCAGAAGAATTCCTGCCAGCAAACCTGATCTTGTCCTTTTTGATAAAGCCAATGAATTTATATATATCATTGAATTTTCTGTCCCTTTTGACAGGAATGTGATTGACAAGATCAAGGAAAAGCATGATAAATATGCGGACCTCGCCTTTGAAATGTCTCGCTTGCATCCCAAGTACACTGTCGTCAGGCTCCCCATTGTTCTCGGTGCCCTTGGTTTGGTACCTCCTGATCTTTTGGCACAGATCAGGAGAGTGCCCGGGTTCTCCACCGGGAGTACAGCTCTTCTGACACTCTGGGTAATGCAGAAGGCTGCAGTGTTGGGGAGCCTTCATATTCTCCGGAAAGTTCTTGGTGGGTTCGACTAGGCAGCGTTTCCTGGGAGAAGTCCCATTCGCTGTCTGGGCTGCGTGTAGAGGGGGCAAGGGCCCTGAGCTGATGATGAGCCTTACCAGCCTGACTGTGCCAGGATCACCCAAACCCTCTCTGCTGCATATTATCTTTAATCTGTAAAACATAATAATAATGGCACTTATATTGCGCTATATCCACGCCATGAAGGTATGCTCAAAGCGCATTGCCTCAAACGATGGAAACAGAGGCAGTTGAGTTCTCCACAGTGGTATCAGTTATGTATCTTTTAGGTATAGTGCTTGAAGAGGTAGGATTTAAGACTGGATTTAAAAGTTTCAAGAGATGGAATCAACTTCAGTGATTCGGGTAGAGAGTTCCACAGAGTAGCGGCTGAGACAGAAAAGGATCTGGAGCCGAAAGTTTTAAGCTTGGTGACAGGCACCCGAAGGAGCTGTTGTTGACTAGAGCGTAGAGTTCTTGAAGGGAGGTATGAGACAGTCAGATCACTCAGATAGGCAGGTCCAGTACCATGGACAGCTTGGTAAGTTAGTGAGAGTAATTTGAAAATGATTCTCTCAGGAATGCGAAGCCAGTGAAGCGAGTTTAGCACTGGTTTGATGTGTGCCTTTATGTTCGTCCGAGTGACCAATCTGGCAGCATAGTTTTGGATGTGCTGCAGACGTTTGATTTGTTGTTTGGTGATTCCATAGAGCAAACTGTTGCAATAGTCTAATCGAGAGAATATCAGAGATCTCACGAGGGAGGCAGCTGCGTCTCTCGTCAGCAAATGTCTGATGGCACTGATATTCCTCAGGTGGTAATGACTGACCTTGCAGCAGTGGCTCACGTGATCTTCCATGGATAGCGAGGAGTCAAGGTATACATTTGGTTTGCAGGGAAAGAAGGTGTGTTTGAATTTGTTGGATGAGAAGGCATGTAGCATTTGAAGTGGGGCATGTTGACAAGGAAGGGGTGGTTGGGTTAGATGGTAGCCTAATCTCATATGTGTGAAGCCAATATTCGGTTGCAAAATGGACAGGGGTTGATGGCTTAAACAGTACCCCATAATTTAGTCGCTGGGTCGGTTTTTCAGCCAGGGCAGGATTCACAAATAGCAGCAGCAACGATAGGATAGTGGCTCCCCATGATGGACCTACGACAAAAAGAAACCAAGGGACAAGTCAGATGGGATGACCATAATGCAGGAAAGTTGTGGCCGCAACATTTCACAGCGTAGCACTTATAAAACACAAGGTAATATGATTACCTGTAAGGGTTGGTCAGAGCTCATCTACCTTGACCAAAGATGACATGTTTACAGGAGGAATACCATGGAAGATCATGATCTATGATTTTGCAAAATATTTGTGCTTCCGTTTTCGTCTGTGGCCCGATCGGGTTCTGTAAGTGTGGTAATCACTTATCATTTCAGGACTAAGGTTAGAGGCTGGTTCCCAGGTACGCTGTGGGTAACCTTCCCTTTCAATTAAGTAATGGGTTTCTCCTGATCGCTTTTTGGCTTTGTGAATGCGTTTTACCGCATACAGTTGATCATCTTGTTGGGAGGATGATGGGTGTGTGTTGTCTGGTTCATTATCTGGTTCTTGGCTTGACATGTGCTGTGTTGTGATAGGATTGTCTGGCTGTGAGGATGTTGACGGAGTTGGAGTAGCTGTTTGTGAGCCTTGTCTATGTGCATTGTCAGGCTGAGAGGATGTTGACTGAGTAGGTGTTGCCAGATGCTGGGTGGGTTGTGACACTTGCATACGAGGAGTGGGAGGGGTATAAGGCTTGAGTCTGTTGGCATGTATGAATGATTTATGTTCCTTGTTTGTGCTTGCATTCATGAGTTTGTATGTGTGGTTTAGACCAATGCGAATGATTCTGTAAGGCCCTATCCATTTCTTTGATAGTTTGGGTGAAAGGCCGGTTTTGACTGTGGGATCAGTCATTAGAACCTGATCGCCAACAGAGTAGGAAGGTTCCTTGGCTCTGATATCCTGAAGACCCTTGCTTTTGTCCTGTGCAGCAGACATGTTGTCCTTTGCAAGTGATTTAGCTACACTTAGGTTTGTCAAGAGGTCTTGGAGATGACCCTGTGCATCCTTGCCAAGAGTAGATTTGGGCGGCAAGGTAGTGTCAAAAGGGAGATTCATTTCCTTCCCAAACAGAAGGTAGTGTGGCGAATACCCAGTTGATTGACAGGGTACATTGCGCATGGCCATCATTACACATGGAATGAGTTTGGCCCAGTTGGTTTGATCAGGGTCAGCATATGTTCGGAGAGCCTGTTCTATTACACTATTCCTCCTCTCACACATGCCATTGGTTTGGGGGTGATAGGATGAAGTGTAATAGTGTTTGATATCCAAGAGTTCACAGAGGGCATTTACCAACTTGGACGTGAACTGCCTACCTCGGTCAGTAAGAAGTGTATGAGGAGCACCAAATCGTGAAAACACCTCATTTAACAGGATTGATGCAACCTCAGTTGCTTCTTGGGTGCGCATTGGGAAACCTTCAGTCCAGCGAGAGAAGGAATCAACGGCAAGGAGAACATATTTGTAGCCTTCTTTAGTCTCAGGTAGTGGACCAAGGATGTCAACATGGACACGAGAGAATGTGTCCTCAATAGGCATAGGCACCATTGGTGCTGGCTTGGCATTTGTCCTTCTTTTGGAGCGTTGACAGTCATCACAGGACTTCATATAATTCTCAATATCCTGGTATAGGCCTGGCCAATAATACTTAGTGAGTATTGTTTGACGTGTGGCGTCTCGTCCAAAGTGGCAACCACCAGCTTTGGAATCATGGTAAGCAAAAAAGAAGCTCTTTGCGACAGCAAACGGGGACAGCTAGCTGTGTGACCATGGTTGTTTTTCTGACCTCTATGCTTGGCATGATAGAAATGGTACAGAATACCGTCGCGAATGTCATACTCCTGAGAAAGGCCTGCAAGACCCTTTACTTGAGCATCTGTATAGGTGGAAGGAATTTCACCTTTCTCAATGTAGTCAATGATTGGACGGAGGTCCGATGATTTACGTTGTTTTTCTGCCAAGCCTTCATCGTCTAGATCAGTGCCTATAGTGAAAACCATTGGACCAGGGGGGGGGTTGGACCTGATTTGTAGACAAAGTCTACAGATATAGAGGATGACACGTCATCTCTGCAGGTGTCTTCTGTAGAAACATTGTGTGAATGAAGTCGTGGATTGTCAGTATTTGAATGTGATGTAGTTTTGGACTTGGCGTGATGAGTGTGCTGTAGAATGGTCTCTTGAGAGGAAAGAGATGATTTGTCTGAACATGTAGACACTAGTTGACTGGAGGGACGAGACATGAATTGTCGACCTTGTTGATGTTTGTGCAATAAGGCTATCGAGGGTGTAGACCTTATGTTGCCTGGTTTTGAATGAGCATGTGGATGAGAGGGGGCCTTTGAGCGTGTAGAGCCCTTGTTGCCTGAGGCGGAATTGGGAGAATGGCGGGCGGAGGCAGTCGAGGGTGTAGACCTCGTGTTGCCTGCATTGAAGTTGGTAGAATGTTGAGTGGAGGCAGTCGAGGGTGTAGACCTCGTGTTGCCTGCATTGGAGTTGGTAGAATGGTGAGTGGAGGCAGTCGAGGGTGTAGACCTCATGTTGCCTGCACTGGAATTGGGAAAATGGCGGGCTGAGGCCTACACCCTCGACTATTATGCACATGCCCAATTCTTATATGCTAGAACCAAACTAAACATCTATGTGTCCATCAAATTCCCCATTTCCTCTATCAGCAAGCCTTTTCATCTCTACAAAATTCTTTCACTCCCTGTACCTGTCAATCAAACATCCTCTCACTCTACTCAGCTTCTGGATCTCCCATCATATTTTGCTATCTCATTTGATTCTCAGCACTATGCTACACTTGAAACTTCTCAGTTATCATCTTGCACAGGTCGGTCACTTCTTCACTGTCCCTTTCGCTTTCCTCTTCAAGCTTCGAACAATCCATCGTGTGAAATTGCTCTCTTCCAAGATAGAAGAAGTGATATCAAATCCATGTGCAATTTTAGATACATAACCCAGCCACAACCATCTCAACTTATTGCCGTTGATTCTTCCCATGTCCTGGTCTACCAAATACCCTTTCTCTCGCTAACATGCCCAGGTCATCGTCGTATGGTACCTGGCTGTACCTTCTGTGTTCTGGGCACTCCCTGTTCTTGTACGCTTTCCACGGAAACACTCTATTATCCTGCAGCCTTTGGCACCTGTCACAACACATCTGAAAAGCTGACACGTTTGCACCCTGTGAACCTTGCTCTCCTACAGCATTTCTTTGATCCTTCAACCCTTGCTACCATTGCAGGTGACACTAATTTCAAGAAGGCCATCCAAATTCAAATTCCGGATTTTCATATCTACTCCCACAAAAGTTCCAAAATACTTGCTCAAGATAAGAATACCCATTTAAGTCTCAGACGAATTGCTGAGCGGGCCAAAAATGATCAGACCATCTTCCAGAATCTAGCGGAACCCCTCCTAGATGGTCAGATTGCTGTCCCTAGCTCCTGGCCCGACACAAATACGATTATTGTCCTCATCAGCACCAGTATATCGGTCCTCTCTATCTGTTTGGTCATCTGGATGTTCTTCAAACTACGCACTCTCTCGGCAGCACTTGTTTTAATATCCCACGCTGCTCCTGTCAAATCTGCTTTACTTCCAAACTTTAACTACGATGCCTACACATCTACTACCATTAATCCTTCTGATCTTGTAATCACTACTTTAACTGACTACCATGTCTCCATTCTGTTAGGGATCCTGACTGTCCTCCTGACAGCACTTCTCATCTTTGTCTTTTACACACAATATTCTCGACCCAACAACTGTCTATTCCTAGGACTCACTACTGGTCCTGATTGTGTCACTATTCCATTTTTTCCACTCACACTGTGTCCTTCCTACTGGCGCATCCAACCTCCTTCTGTAATAGAAAATCTTCAACTCTCAGGATATTTCTTTCCCACCCTCGCACTCCACTGGCCTGATTTCCATGTCACCAATAAACTGACCGACCGTTCACTCAACATCCCCAGATCAATCTCTGTCTCCTATCTCACTTCCCGCAAATTACGCAAACTCTTTCAGCAACCGTTTACCGCATATATTTTACTAGTCCACCATGGGTATTTTCAAGTTTTTGGAACCAACTGGCATGGTCTTTTAAAGGTCTTTTAAAGGGCAAGTTGTTAGGGAACGCTAAAAACTCCCTCATCATTCAACCTGTCTCAATTATATACTATGTATCTTTTCACCTTTTTCAGGTTCCTTTTGACTTGTCCATCTTTTTAAATTGTACCTGATTTCTTCTACTGCAGTGTGTATTTGTATTTCAGGTTAAATAATTGTATTTCAATCCTTGTACCATAATGTTTTTAAACGTGCCAACCTTATGTCCATCCTATTTTTTTGTTTTGATCATTGTGTATACGTTTGTCAAACGCTATCATGCGCACCTCTTTGATTCTCATTGTACACCCACTGTATTTGTAACCCTTTTTCTGTTTTTGTAAAAGCTTTTGAGGACAAAAGCTCCACGACGCATAGGGGTATTATTACAGTGCATATATTTCTTCATACATTTTTATATTTTTCACAAATTATTCTTAACGAAGGAAATCTGTATAGGTGCAAGTCTCTGTGCATAGTCTGTCTTGTTTATGGCCCGCATGTCAAGCGCAGTAGTAGGCAATTAGCAAACGCGTCCACGCCAACCTTAAACTAATTAATCAAAGATGAAGCTAGCGAGCTGTGTCGGCTCCGGCCTTTCTTCTCTGGTACATCTCTTGGTCAAGCACAGATAAGTAGTCCCATCCCAGCAGGAGCATGTCTACCACCAACTAAGTCGTAATCGAAAATCAACTTTTGTTGAACAAGATCGAGATTATCATCATGCCATCCTCTTTGTCCTGTCGTAAATGCCATGGTCAAGCGCTGACAGATATTTTGTTAAGTAGCTGGCGCAAGCTGACCGTGGCTACACCATAAAGAAAATCAAACCTTGTTAGGTAATCATCTTCTTACCACCTACCTCGTGTAGTAAACCTTGTCAGCATAGGGTAGATAACGCATATGGAAACTTCAACTTTATAGAAACTTGATAATGACAAACGAGTAGAGCTGTGGGGTATAAAATCCTGGGTTCTTCCATCTCAGGCACACGTGCTTGAATAAACCCTGGATCTCACAGCTCTGCCTCCTTTCTTGTTTCAAGGTAAGAAACACTTAAACTTTATTATTGTTTATGTTTCACTTGTTATTTCTTTGTAATTATCGTCTAGAAAATGTTAGAGTTAGGTTAGAAACATTCCTACAACACTGAAGCACTTTTTCATTGCAAATGCTAGTTCTAGATAACCGATTAATTATTAGGCACTATCCAGGGATATTTATTTATGCACATTGCGTCGTGGGCTCCTCAAGTTTATGTTTTTCATGTACAAACGAATATTTCTTTTCTATGTTTCGACACACATGTGTGTATTCCCAGTCCTTGTCTTGTTTTATTCATTTGCGTGTTAGATCTGTATATGCAGATTAGATTCCCGTTCAGTAGCCTAGATTCTAGTAGCTTAGTCACAAAAACAGTTCCGAGAGTTTATACAATCATTTCCAGCAAAGACGAAGTTGTATGTATTTTATTGATAGTCCGCCGATCGAATGATATTCGTGTAGATTTACCTCAGATACGCGCTCACATGATAGGTATAACAGCCAACATTTGTGTTTTGATATTTCACCAACACTATAAGTACTTGAATAATGATATATTAAACGTTCCGTTCCGCGTGCAGTTGTATACCGTACAGAACAGTTTATACGCGAATCACATTACCGTAATCAGTAGAAAATGGTATTGTCTTCTCTTCATATTACCAGAAAATATACATTCAAATCCGTGTAGTTTGCAATTACAGTCTTCGTTCCGTATTTGTTTAGCTCCGTAATTTAAGAAATACGCGTAGCCAATGACAACAGCGCCGTCCTAGTACATTATTACATATTCATTTAAGTAAGTTACTGTCTTGTTTTGTAAAGCACAAAATGTAGCACTACAGCATTACATATATTCTAGGTCATGGCTTAACTCCGTATATGTCGAAATTACACGTTGCCAATAGCAACATCATGGTCGAAATACATTTACCGTAGTCACCCAAATAATTCAGGATGGGACAAAGTAGTAGTACTGTAGCTAAAACTATATCGTCTGTCCCCGTAGTTACACATATTTATATCACTCTCTAGTTCCACTTAGCGTATCTACCGAAATTATTGTATTGAGAAAATAAATGTTAACATTACAGTTAGAATGCGTACAGTCAATACCGGAGTTAAATGGTATATGTCAAATCTGAGCACTTCGCGCCGTTTACCGTATTTGCTCAAGGCATGTATGTTGATAACGGAAATTACTTACACCAGTCATAAATCGTTACCGTAGTTAATGCATTAAGCGCGACATACCGTAATAATAGTAAATTCCTACCGTAGTCAATACACTAAGCGCAACATACCGTAATAGTCATAAATTCCTACCGTAGTTAACGCAATAGGCACTACATACCGTAATTGTCATAAATCGGTACCGTAGTTAACGCATTAGGCGCGACATAACGTAATAGTCATAAATCCGCACAATAGTTAATGAACTATAGGCACTACATGCTGTAATTAAACTGTTGGACGCTCCACTCAGTACTTGTTCTTTGCAATTGTTGTTGATGATTAATTTATCCGTCAGGTTATGTTATTTATCAGTACCGTAGTTACTCAAGAAAATGTTGTATTATTTGTATTATGTTTCTGTAAGCAGTTACCGTACATACCCTGTTGTACCACACATTGCTTATATTACCGGACTTAGATATAAACTGTATTAGGATATCATTGATTACTATTTCTATTATTGTATGTCATTATTATGTATGAATTGATGTATTTTGAATGTCATGCAAGGACACTTGCTTGAATAAACCCTGGATCTCACAGCTCTGCCTCCTTTCTTGTTTCAAGGTTTCAAGGCTTGCTCCCTATAGCTAATTCCCCAAATCGAGGCCTGACAGCACCTTTAGCACACCTAGTGCTAAAGGTCGTCCTAACGGACACAAAAAGAAAAGCTGTCTTACTTCGTACAATGTATTTATGCACATGTCTAAAGATATTTTCATTGATAGTGTTTGGCAGAGCAGGTAAGAAAGAATGGTATCAATGTCCAATTGAACTTTTGATAGTTCAAAGTCTTTCTTCAGATCAAAACGGCAACTGACAAATTTTGGACATTTTAAGAAGAAATGGTTAGCATCTTCCACCGGAGCACCACAATTGCAAGCTCTACTCTCTGATAGATTAACACGAAACAGATCTGCTTGTAATGAACTACACGAATGTCTTAACTTCGTGTGTAGTATATTTGTCTTTCTTTCACCAAATAGAAAATATTTTGGAACCTTGTCATTATTTCCAGATAACTTTGATTTAAACGATGATAATGAATTTGTACATTTTGTTGTAGAGGAGGGAGCATTCAATAAACTTGCAGAATCATAAATAAATGACTTTTAGAGAATTGAGGTGCGACATTTAGGAACAGCCAAATCTGATTTGTTACGCAAGTTGTATCCGGAAATGGTTTCAGTAAAAGGTGGAAGTAAATCTATCAGGTAATCAGGAGCTTGCATATTAACAATTTTGTAGAATGTACAGAGTTTCCTTTGTGTTCGTCTAACTTTCAATGGTAACCAACCAGTTTCACTGTATCTTATCACTGTAACTATATCTTGAAGCGAATTTAGGCAATCCGTTACAATTCTTGCTGCTTCAAGTTGTAACATTTCAAGTTTATCATAAATATAGCTAGGGCAATTATCCCAGACCTCAGATGCATATTCTAAAATAGGCCTAATATACATTTCGTACATACTAGAAAGGATATATCTAGGTAATACGTACTTTAGCGTCCGTAATGAGGAAACAATTTTTGCAGCCTTTTCTATTACAACAGATACATGATGAGACCATTTTGTATTATCTGAAAAGATGACACCGAGGTTGGTAGGAATCATATAGAAAGAACCATAAAACACTGGTCGAGATATTCCTCTAACAAGGATGTTTACTTCCAGGTTCTGAAATAACAGAATGATACAATGTAGCAGCTTATATTTAGCACTTATTATCATGAAACAACATTTGTGAATATCCCATTATATTGAAACTACAGCAATAAGTTCACAATACATGACACTGTCATGCAATGACTGCTCCCAAGTTTCACGCATAACTTTGAAAAGTCTAGCAAAACTACAGATAGTAAATTCCATGAATTAACACTGAGCATGTTGACTTAATATTGATTCTAAAACTACAAACTGACTCTAAAATCCTGACATTATAACAGAAATCTGCCATATAGTTACAAAACACAATGTATCAGAAGCACCATTACCACGAAAATAGGATACAGTTTTGCACGTGACCAAATAATTGAACATTCCTATAATTGCAAAAATACTCTGAAAATAGTATAATACACCGCCACAAACATGGATATATTATAAGGTGACATTTGTACCTGAAGAGTGCATCTCGACCATCTCTGAAACTTCAATATATACTTGCTCTCAACAAACTCCTTTTTGACCATCGCGGGTCACTCATGCGCTTCATTTCGCAGTAAACTTTCAACAGCCAGGGAGCATCTATTGTATCAAATGTCAACGACTTAAGCCACTACTACGATGTATCTACAGTCAGAGAACTTAACTACTGGTCAAATAAAGATATTATTCCAAACTAGTACACAAAATGCAAAATACTGCTGCACATTTCCTGACTAGAAAAAATTCTGCAAAATATTATGATTACATCAGGGAAAACCAAACAAATTGTAGTCATGACCACACTAAATATACACTATTAGTCTCTAAAACCAAAACAGTTACAACATAATAAGACTGTCTGCATGGTATTCCTTAATACCAATGTACATGATAAAAATGACAAGCTCTTTATACTGACACACAAATAAAACTAACCATAGCAGAATAATTCAGGTGCAACCTAGCCTTTAGACAACATGTAATATTATTCCAAACAATCCTCGGGGGGCAACAAAATGAGCATGATAACAAACTGGTCTTATGCTTCCAAGATAAGACAACATCTCTGCACAGAACGCTTGTATACCCCATTCTTGGTGCGAACTTTGACATTTCTGATGATTCCATCCTTACCGGATACACATCAGTAATTCGAGCAAGGTCCCATTTACCTCTGGGTGCACCATAGTCAACAAGTAACACAATGTCTCCTTCTTGTAACTGTCGGCCTTTTACTTGCCACT